AAGCCTCATTTTCTTCCCGTGTAAATAGAGAGGACACTTTACAGAGTTAAGAGGATTTGTTCTGTGCCTCGTAAGCACGCAGGAAACACATAATATTGTGATCGTATCCTCCATTTCAAAGCCTTCTCCGAGGAACACAGAGGCTGCAGAGGTAAAGAGTCTGTCGGTGGGAAATCCATTAGCCTTCCAGCCTTCTGCTGGACTCCGTCCGTATCTTGTCCCTGCGAGCGAGCAGAGACCTCTTTCTCCTGGAAGTACCTGCCGCCCCGCCCCCCGCCACCCTTCCATGGTGAAGCCGGGAAGGTAAGTGGGTTTTGTGAGTCCTGATTTCAGCCTGCTTACCACAGAGACCCAGCGGAGTCTTGGCCTGTGCAGCTGGGAGAAATGGACCTGGGCCTGAGAACCGCCGCTGGGAGGGCCCAGGGCCAGGGCCCCAAGCACAGGTCAGGATGTTGCTGCTGCCCCTGGTTTTCCGCAGGGCCCTGGAGAAGCGGTGGTCCAGGTGAGAGTCGGCTTTTCAGTGCAGGGTATGTGTGTGTTGACCAGGAAAGCCTCTGTTCTTTTAGAATCACCAGACCCAGAGACCCGTTCATGTCCATTTAAGACGTTTGCACATTGAAACTTGAACAAGGCCCTTCATACGGTCTGGGAAACAAGAGGTCTTCTTAGCAACCAGGGGGATTCTCCTCTGCCCAAATGACCAGTTCTGGTTCAGGAAGGAGAACTTTCTAATGTTAGATTTCTCTTAGGCACTTCCTTCTAACAGCAGTTGTCTTCCCATAGTTTAGTTAAAGTCGATGCAGGCCGGCAAGTATTAGTGAAAGTGGGAGCCTCTTAGTGAGTAAACGTATTTTTATGAAGGCTTCCCCTAGGGAGCAATCAAAACCTGACCCCCAGCCACAGAAATACATGGACTCTGAGGACGTTGAGAACTTGCCTTTTGCAAGGTTACACAAATTGTTGAAGAACAGGGGAGGAGAGGACAACCAGTTGAGCCGACAAGCGCTCCTTTGAGGTTCTATTTTCAATTGAAAAGTAGCCTAATCCTCACTGACTCCTCCCTGCTTAAGAGGTTCCAAAGAAGACAAAGGACGTTCTGCTGCCTCCTCAGGGTTACCCCAACCGAACTCTGGGCAGGCGGGGCGGGGGAAATGGCTGTTTTGGGGCAGCTTCAGTGAGAAATAATAATAATGGCATAACATTTTGACTTAAGAATTGGGAGTCATCAAAGACAAAAATAACTTTCAAGAAACTATAAACACTCCCCATCCTGATTCATTTCCAAAGACAGCAGAATGCCTCTATCTTGAGCAACCTACACGGATTCATGCCTCATCTAATGACCTCACCTCTTTTTTTCTTTAAGTGACTCCCTTAAAGCAGAGGCTCCCGCCGGGAAAGAAAGAAAAACCAAAGGCAAATCACCTTGGCCCTGCCTGCCTCTCACAAAATGCCCTGGGGATGCGGCTATTGAGGGTCTTCAAGTGATTTCTCCTTAATATACTTTTGTCCTAAAAGAGCAGAGCCCTCTGTGGAGCCATGAGGCAGGCAGTTCTCTATGCTTTAGTCTCCCCAAGTTCCCGAGATAGTGTTCCAGTTCTAAACCAGTAGTGACCCCCAGAGACGGAAATGGCTAATTACCAAATCCGTTGTGTGTTGTTGTTTTTTGTTTTTTAATCTCCCAAGCTCGTTTGGCTCTTGACATTAAAGGGCTCCGATCTGGGCGCTCTCTCAGAGCTGGAGCCCACTGCCCTGTCCAGAGTCCAAGAGTCCGACGTGGGGTCTGCAGTGCCGGGTCCGCGAGGTCTTGACCAGACTTGTGAAAATGTGCTTAGATTTTAAATCCTGCAGCGGAGCTCGTGTGCTGCAGCTAGAAGCTAACAAGCGCCCCGGTGCAGAAAGATTTGATTTGTTTCAGCAGCTCCACAGTTCGGCGCTTGATTTAAAAAAAAAAAAAAAAAATTTAAGGGGAATCCTGGGGTAAAAAGGTTATTTTAAATTTCCACATCCACTGCCTCTCTCCCCTTCTTCCACCTTTTTCTTTCGTTTCGTTTGTGGGAAATGGAATTTTCTTCTCTTTGCTGGGATTATAATGTGATTCAGGGTCGTCTGCGAAAATAACAAAAGTCACAGGCAAGCGGATGACTGGGACCCAGCGCTGATGGCAGACCTGGGGTGGGAGCCAAGGCGGGGCCTCCTCCCCGCAGTTCCAGGTAAGATGTGTGGCCCTCTGTCCATCCACCGCAGCAAGCCCCCTCCCCAGGAGGGCGGAGGATCTGCTCGCTGGTGAAACCAATGAGCCCCTTACTGCCCGGCTTAGTGGAGCCTAGCGAGGTTCTCCATCGCGGCCTTGGTCTCGGAATTTGGGCATTTGCATAACGCAGAGATTCTCAACCTGTGTGCAGCAAGGGGTCCGTCGATGCGAAGCAAGAATTGTTAAAACATGCAATATCATTTAATAAAACATACCTTTCTAAGAGCATATCCACAATCTTATTTCAATTAGTACATAGTCACACCATTAAAATAACATGTGGGAATCAGTTTAAAATTCTGTTTTCAAACCACAGAATCCACCCCACAGCCACACTATAAATTCCCAGAATTGTAAGGCATTGACATTTTTCTAAACAACCCAGCCCAAACAGAAATGAAGATGATTTCCAACCAGCAGGGGTACAATCTATTAGCATTTTCTTTTATTCTCCCACAGCCACTCCATCAGAAACAGTATAAGCACTTGTGCTATTCCGTTGTAGAAAGAGGTTCAGGGGAAATTATTCAAATCAAATGTGAAGGTGTGGGGAGCCATGGCTGGAAATGGGGATACATGTGAATGGAAGGTCAAAGCAGACAAGAGGCTTTGCTGCCCACCAGCGTAGCCAGAGCGAGGATGAAGTAATGAAACATCATTCCTGGTGGTGCCTGTTTCTTGGAAAGCATGGTGGCGCTTACAACAGGGTGTTCTGTACATCAGCTCTTTCCAAGAAAAAAATGATGGGTGAAACTCATGAACCTGAAATCCAAAGCCACTGACTTTGGCTCTGACTTCTAGCTCTGATGGGCTTGGAATCAGTCCTTCCGTATTAGGGTATAACCTTGCACTCAAACACTGTGGTTAATGAAATCTTGCACAGATGTTCTTGGCCTTATGTGGATACCTGGTCCACTGGAACTTGGCTATAATATAGAACATGATGATTTTGCTTACAGTACCTTCATCATGCCTCCTATATGATAACCATACTCAGCACATGTCTGTTCTGCCATGATTCATGAGCTGGCAGAGTGAGTGTCCATCTCTCTGTACCAGTGATGAAAAACAATGTGTGTACTTAATTCCATACATACACATTATATATACATATGTACACATATATGTACATATATATGTACATATATGTACACTGGGTACATTCCGGATTTTTAATCAAAACTTCTGACGTGGGTGTTTTTGCATTGATTATACCGCACTTTAAAAAACAACAAACCAAAAATATGCAATACCTGACTATTTAGTCAGGGGCACTGACTTATTTTTTCATAGGTTGTCAAATTTAAAAATGACAACAGCTAACAACAATAGCTGTCCAGCACGAGTGAATATAAAGTATACCTTTTTTTGTCAGATGGGCAAAATATATTTTTGTGGTGTGTTGCAGAATTTTAGTAACTAGTTTATATGTGCCAGGGGATGAAAAAGGTTGAAAGTCGCTGGCATGACCTCTGCGCAGAGTGGGGACCCCTGCCTGCCAGGCCTGGCGTGCAGGGCGGGTCAGCAGCTCCCTCACCGCTGCTCGGGGACCATCCTCCCCATGCACCTGGGTCACCCTGCAGACCTCAGCAAGGAGCTCAGCGCCTCGTCCTCCCTTGGCCACCTCTGGGCGGCTGCACTTGAAAAGAAAGCGGCAAAGTTGGAGTGCGTGAACCGAAGCTAGGTCTTTGCAACCTTGCAGCCGGAGAAATAAACTTGGCGTGACCCCGGCTCTCCAGGAAAACGTTAAGGGCTTCGCCGTTTTGCACACTGACCGTTGGAGCCGCGCGCTCAACTGTCACTGGTGCCTCGGAGCGCGGAGGCGCCTGAAGTTCTGATCGGGGCGCGCGGAACCTGGACGCGCTGGTCGCCGCCCCACCCGCCCGCAGAAGACAAGGGGGATGCGCGGCACTTAAAGGTGAGGAGGATCGTGGCGTGTGGGAGGGGCTATGGTTCTACGGAGTTTAGGAAGGAGCACGCAGGCTTCTGAGGCGCGCACCTTTCGTAGAGTCAATGCAAACACTTCAGCCGATGTTTCGGGGCATCCAACCCGTGAGGAAGAGAAAAATATCGCCCGAAGGGACCTTCCACCGAAAACCTCCCCTAAGTACCCAGAACGTGCCCGGGTCCAGACAGGTGCAGACCGTTTCGCGCGGCCACGCCTGCGCCTCTACAGTTCAAAACTGCCCGCTTCAAAGCCGAAAGACTGAGGCCGTGAGTGCAAGAGGGAGCCTGTCTAAAACGAATCGCGGTGCAAAAGCCCGGAATCCCGAGGCGGCCTGCCCCCTTCCAAAGAATGAGGGTCCCACGCGCCCCACTCCCAGCGGCGTGGGCCACCGGCGCCCAATCAGCGCTCTCGCCGGGTCTGTGACGGCGTTCGCCCCGCCCCCTGGGCGGTGATAAAAGGCCTCTGCGCAGCCGGCGGTGCGGAGATTGGTGTGTGGCCCGCGCCGGGCGCGCCCGGGAGTCCAGGTGCGCTTCCCTGCTGGCTGCTCGCCGCACGGGTCTCACTGTCCCCTCCGCCAGCCGCCGCCAGCTCCTCACTCGCCTCAGTCCCAGAGCAGTGCCACCCCTAGGCGTCTCCCCCTTTCCTTTTTCCTCTCCCTCCCTCCCAGGCCGTCGCTGTCGCCTCCCCCCGCGGCATTGGTCCGCTGGCCGCAGGTGAGTTGCAGCGCAGCGCCCCAGTCTGGCCAGCTCACCTTGCCTGAGCGGCGGCAGCCCCCCAAGACTCTCGTTTCCCTGCAGGATGAAGAACCCAATGCTCGAGGCGGCGTCCCTGCTGCTGGAGAAATTGCTCCTCATCTCCAACTTCAAGCTCTTCAGTTCGGGCGCCCCGGGCGAAGACAAGGCAAGGAGCAGTTTCCAGGACATCACCTCCTGCGCGACGTCCTGGAGTGCCCCGAAGGTGCCCCGGGACCCACCTGGCATCTACCTGGGCGACGGCGGACAACCGTGTCGCCCCACATGATGCCCGACATCCTCTTGGCTCTGACCAAGGACAGGAGGCTCACGCAGAAGGTGGTCTCCAACCAGCGTCTCATCCTGGGCGTTATTGGCAGGGTGGCTAGCATCCGCGTGGACACTGTGGATGACTTCGCCTACGGAGCCGAAATCCTGGTCAATCGCCTGGATAAGTCCCTCAAGAAGAAGGCCCTCCTCAACGAAGAGGTGGCTCAGAGAGCGGAGAAGATGCTGGGCACCACCCCCTACAGCCTGCTGTGGAACAACTGCGAGCACTTTGTGACTTACTGCAGATTCGGCACCGCGGTCAGCCCCCAGGCAGACAAGGTACCACTTGTGACTGACTCACCGGTGGGCTGGGCGGGGCCGCCCCCACTCCCATCCCTAACCGTGTCTCTCCCCTGGGATCAGGCATTGAGTTTAGATGAACAAAGGCTCTGGTGTTCCCCAGGGAGACAATGTAAGTAAATGGCCATGTGTCTTGCAGGACCTCCCCAAAGGCGCAGTGGAGTTTGGCAGTGCAGCACCGCTGCCCACTACGAGAGAGCCGCCGGGCTATTGCTACAGAAGTCATCAGGGTGTCCACCCAGCGTAGTTGAAATGACAAAGTCCGCCGTGTGCTTGCAACTTTTCCCAAGAATTTCAATTGGCAGGAAGGTGTCCAGAGTTTATATTTAATCCGTAACACTGTGTACAGAGTGTTGTGCATTTAAACTAAGGAGGCTTGCAGCATTCTCCCTCTGTAAGCAGAATGAATTCCCCTTGCTCAATATCAACTAACAAAATTCCCAGTAAGAAGACCTCCCTGGTATATCTTACTCCTGTGTGGGCTTTAGACGGGTCTTTTCCAGGGTACTTTGAAATTTTTGTGTTGGCTTTAATCCCTATCTAAGACTCCCTGATTGTTAAGCATCCTTTACCCATTAGTCCCAAAGGTGGGTTAGGTTTATGGATTCCCTAGAGATCAAAACACTTGGTTTTCTAGAAGAGCCATTGGCTGTTGGAAGGTAATTTTAATGTGTGAAGTAAAACAAACAAACAAAACTATCAGAATTTAAGATGGTTAAATTAGCCACAAAACCAAAGGGGTGGGGATGAATTTTTAGCTCCTTTGCCCAAATCTCTTAAATTTTAAAAATAGCTAACATTAAAAAAAAAATGCCTGCAACTTCATTTGCAATTAAAAGCTTTCTCAGCCTGTCCCGAAGTTGTTAAAGTTCAATCTTAACAATAGAAGCCTAGGTAATCACAAAATGACCTTCATGGTTGACTCTTCTTCACATTTATGTATTTTTTGGACCAAAAGAATCTGAGTCTATGTAACCAATATTTTTATTGCTCCATATTTTGATTAATTTTTGACCCATGTGGGAAAATCTTTCCTCTGTGGCAGAGCATGAAAATATTATGCTTTTATATATATATATATGGGTGCATCAAACTCCTTGTGATTATTTATAGAGCCACAAAGACTCAATCTAGGAATGCTTTTGTAGGAATGCTTTTTTAAAGAATCACAGCTCTAGGCTTGTTGAGAAATGAACTTCACCACATTTACAAACATGGGCTCCAAAGAACACAAAAGAAAACACATCAGATTTACTTAGGACCAAGCAAATTATTTCTCCAAGGAAAACAGTATTTCTATCGGGTAATACTTTGATGGGACACATATAACTCTGTATTATATATTTCTACAAAAAAAAACAACAACAACAAACAGTGTAAGTACTTTTTTAAAGTAGTAAAATATTTAATCTGCATACATAAGTAGTTGGAGTAGTTTTTCATCTTTGGAAACTTTGTAGGGTTTTACAGAAGTAGAGAAGGGTTTTAACTGCTGTTGCTGCATAGCACTTCTTGTGAAACTTGAGTTTTTGTCTTCACTGTGAATGGTCTAACAATCTGGCCACAGAATAGACTTCCCAGGGGGAAAAAATCCCCATCCCAAATTTTCCAGTTCTCAGAACTGCCTGTTGGACATGCTCTGTAAGAATTCGGTCATTAATGCTGAAGAAGGACTGATTTCTACTTTCCAGAAACAATGAGGAATTATTTGGTTCTGAATCTCATTTTTGAATTCTCTGTATATATATAACTATTACCCGACTAACATGAGAATTGCAAAGTTGTCTCTTAATTTTGAGTTAGAAAGTTAAAAGTTCTATCACCAATTTTAGAATGGTTCATTGAATGAATTGAATTCACCAATAATAATGGACAACTTATTTATTTGAGATTAGAGATCACTTTGCTTATCTAATTTTAGAATATATTGTTATTGATAAACAGTTTAATGCTTTTAACATTTAATCCTGAACTTTTATGGGGTACATTCTCTGTAGTTTTCTGTAAAAGTTCTGTATTTATATAGGCAGCTGCCATTGGTAACCTATTTGCCAGAGGTGTTATTTCAGCGGGCTGTTACAGGATGTGGAATCAAGAAACTGAACTCTTAACATCTAAATTCTTTCATAAGTCGTAAGAGAAATTCTAGTTTTTCTGGTAGACAGAAAATAGCCTGGAAAATTGTGTTTATTATTTTGTATATATGATTCTTCTTAGGCTTAGCCACCTTTTCTGACATTCTTAAATTTTATTTTCTAGTTTTGTGAGAATTTGAAGATAATTATTCGTGATCAAAGAAGTGTTCTTGCTTCGGCACTCTTGGGATTGGCGGCTATAATCTGCCTGGGCATGGCATCATATACTACTCTTCCTGCTATTTTTATTCCATTCTGCTTATGGATGGCTGGCTAACTTCACATCCTCATGTCAGTGTGTGTATTTTGTGTGTAAATATGTTTATATTTATAGAGCACAAATCAGTATAAGCATCGTCGAGAAAAATGTGACCTGAAACATTGTGTTCTGGATAAAAATGTGATTAAGAATCACACAAAGTGCTTACTGTGTAAGCCCAAGAACAAGGCTTTCTGAATCTTCCTCAGGCAGTTACATTTTAAAGCTCTGTGCAAATCTTGGAAACCTGACAACTGTGATAGACTTCATCATTACAAGAAAACCAGCCTCTAAGATGATGGCCACAGAAGATGGTTTTTTTTTTTCTCTCCTGTAATCACTGCTCTTCTCCGTTAGGCCAGAATCTGAAGATCAGAAGACTTATTGAATGAGGTCATCAACTTTATTCATTGAAAAACTTATATTAAACTGAAAGAATTTCCCTTGTTCAGATGAAAACCTTTTTGATGATTGGCCTAAAAAGAAATTCTCAATCTTTTTTTATGTATTATAATTCCCGATGAGTCAAGAATATTTCATTACTTGAAACCGTATTAGCAAAATTAAGGTTTACTGATAAAATAACTGACCAGAACTATAGAAATCGGTGTTTTCCTGCAGAAATAGCTACTATAGCATCAGTTGAACAATTTGATGTAGCTTTACTTAATAGGAAGCCTAGCACTCTTCCCCCTCCCCCCTTTTACGTGTCACTGTGATTACTTTAAAGGACTCTAAGAGGTAAATGGATATAGGATTGCAATAATTTGGATACTTGTAATGTATATGTACCAATTAAATATGCGGATATCCACATTCACTCAAACTGATGAGAAATTAGGTTTGTTCTTGACTGCTTTATTATCATACCAGTGTGGTTACTATAGAGCATTTGTAGAGGTGAATGTTACAACAAATTTAGTCCATTTTCTTATGCCTTTGCCTGTGGTGTAACTTGCATATATGACTTTGGATGGTTTAGCTTTTAGAGCACTTACTAATGTACTGTATAATTTTTAAAAGCCCTCAGATTTGTTTTCTAGTCCATTTTTTCCAATTTCATTGGCAAGTATAGCTCGCATCCTTAAAAGAAGAATGCCATAGCAGCATATAAGCCCCAAACAAGTAGGACCCAAGGAAATAACTGTTAGGGATAATTTGTGTCTTAGTACTTCCAGGCATGTAAATTGATTATACCAAGGCTGTTTTAATATTTGAGTTGCGATGTGTGGTGTTAAAGCAAGCATTCAAGTACTTTAACCAAAATTAACAAATTCTACAATTAAGCCAAAAGCTAGACTTGTATTTCAAGTATTAAAGTGACTTTACAAACTACCAAGAATCACAAAATAAGTCACATAATGAGTGGTATGAGGAGGTGGGATCAGTCACTCAATAATCCAACCAGAACAAATTTCAGAGCAGATTTTAGCAACTGATACTTTATCACCACTAAATTTACCCACAATAAATTCAGTTGGAGTTTAATTTTGTGTTTAATCATTTAAATATTTTAAATAATTAAAACATGAAATGGCAATACCACATAATAAAGTTGTTCATGGGCCTGTCTGACCACTTAAAAAGTTATTGTATGTATGTATACATAAGAGCAACCACCAGCCCTGGCTGGTGTGGCACAAGTTGGTTGGGAGTCATCCCATGCTGGTTGCCCCAGTTGTGGTCTCGATCCTCAGTACAGGCATGCAAGAGGCAGCTGACTTATGCTGATGGATGTTGCGCTCTAACATCAGTGTTTCTCTCCCTTCCTCTCTCTAAAAATCAATAAACTATTCTTTAAAAAAAAAAAAGCAACTACAATGAGAAATCCATTGTATTAGTGTTTTTTCACTTACTGTATATTACCCTTGTAGCAATTGTTTAAAGTCATTTTTAAAAAATATGGTGTCCTCATAAGTAATTAACACCTTTTTGCAGACTTTAGTATTGTAAGTCACAAAAGCCACTGTCTGGTGTTAAATCTGTGTTCAAAGATAACAATCCCTGATTAAATGCCAAGGGAAGTACATAAGGTTGGAATTAACATAATTAGTCTTGACTCACTTCATATCCTTAAAGCAAGATTCAATTCATCATTCACTTAAGTGCTCAGTATATGCCAGGGACTGACCTGTTTCAATTTCATGGTCTAGATTTAATCATTCTAACTAACCATATTGAAGTGTATACAGTGCTATGGGAACACAGGGGATGAAGACATTAAATTGTCAGATAAATCTCTCTGAAGGAGGCAGTGCTAACATTAAGGTGAGAAATAATAAGAGGTGATCTTATCACACTGATGTGTTGTTTCACTACTTAGGGGGAGAGGGATCTGGAGGGAGGTTTTATTTACTTTGTTGAACTTAGGAGAAAAGGAGAGTTTTTATTTAGTTGGCTCAGCTTGATTAGTTGCTTAACTAGGTAGAAAAAGATGCAAATATCCCTGATTGTGGTTATGGAAAAAATCCTGCACTATTAATGTGTCTTGTAATGAATTTCAAGATGGCATCATCCGTTAAGATTGATCCTTGTGATCCTGCCATATATGAGCCCATATATTTCTAAACTTCTCACTTGTGGAATGGTAATCAAGTAGTATCTAATGTGGCTTCTTATTGCTTATTTTGTTCTTTGCCATATCCAGATGAAGGCCAAATAGGACTACTGGGACTAAGATGAAATAATGCATGAGTCGGTACTGGGCAGGTGTTAGGGATAAAAAGGTCAATGAGACATGGAAATTTTCCTTAAAGTTTATGGCCAAATGGGTATAGATGACACAATAGAGCTGATTGAAAGCATAGAAAAAGAAGTGGTTAGTTTTAACAATAAGGCCAAAATTATAGGGACTGTGTATTGAGATGAAAAACAGGTGTTTTTCAAGAGATAGATTTGGGCAGAACATTTTACACAAGAGCAAATGCATGGAAACTGTCCACAACATGCCTGGCACATAAGTGTGAGGTACTCTACTCTTATTTTAAGTATGTATGCATAAAAGTTCTGAAAGCATGGAACTGCATGGTGCATTTGGGCAAATGCAAGTGGTTCAGAGGCTAGAGCAGAGCAAGGCTGATGCGAGATGTGGGAAAGAAAAAAAGTAATCAGGTGGTACAAGTCTTGTGTGTAGACCAAAAAATGTGGACTTTATGAAGAGGCAATAGAGATTTGGGGTTCAGAAAAGTAACTCCCAAAAGTATGAAGGAAAGATGGGAACATGAGCCAAGACAGGACAAGAGCATCTATTAGGATACTAGCGATGGTCCTAAATCTTTCAAATAAAGGCCTGTAATTGTGAGGGTGGAGAGCAAACATGTCAGGGAAGTATCAACAGACTTCAGCCAAATCCTTGTGTTTGAGTAACTCTTGGTGGGGTGTCAGGGAGGAGTCATGTATCATTTCCATCAGAAAGTTGGTTCCTGAAAAATAAATATGGTGGCTGTGTGTATACTGGATATTCCAGATATTTGTTCTGCTAGATATAGTTCTAAGGACAAGCAAATATATAAGGATTTGTCATTTAAAAATTTAGCTTTTCAGAATATGGATATATTTCTTATTTTTCCATTTTCTATTTCATACTACTACTGTCAAATAGAAAAAAAATATTTTCCTGCAATATCACATACCAAAGGCAAACTCTTGTTATAGGTGAGAAGCATATAAGAAATGATAGTTGCCAATTTTCTGTTTTATATGCTCTATTGAGAAAGTTTTACCCAGCCTAAACCTATCAGTTCAACTGGTTTTATATTTGGTATATGTACATGTATTTTAAATCAATTTTACATACTGTCCTCTATATTTGAAATTAAAACTTTACGTGGATCTGCTTTCAGACTGATATGGCCTATGTTACCTACATCTTGAAGCCTACCTTGATTATGCAAAAAGTGTTCTATACAACATTTTATGAAAAACCTCTTCTCCATTCCACAAAATCAAGCAACAAGAAACAAGTAGAGCCCTGGACCTGGATCTTCTGGCCAGATGTGAAATGCCGCCAAGGCAGCCTGTTGCTTTACCCTGGCCATGAGTGAGGTAGAGATGAGGTATGAATAGAAGCAAGTCCCAGGGCCAGACTTGATGGGCACTAACAGCATTGCAAAGGAACACAGAAGTTACTGGGCTGAACCCTTAAACACCTAACTACATTTCAGATGTGAAAAATTAGGCACAGAGGTTGAGATGTCTTGTGATTATGCAAATAATCAGAGCCAGAGCCAGAACTTAACTCCACCTTTCTTTCCATCACTCAGCATTGGCTCCCTGAAGTCTCCCACAAATTGGACAAAGTTTCCTACAGTGAATGTATTAATTTCTTGCAGACCTTCTGTGTACTCCAAGCAGGACCACACAAGAATGAACTACTTAGAATCTTAGTCCTGTGGTTGCTTAGTATAATGAGAAAAAAATGGCAAGTAAATAGATTTCAAAACAATGAAAGGTCACATATTAGGTCAATGTACATTCAGATTAGGTGGCATCCTTGGGCCAATCAGTTGTGGCTAACTCGCACAAGGACATGCAAGGCATGGTGAAGTACTCTACAGAGCTCCTTCATCTGATTAAAATGGCTATCAGTGTTAGCTTAAATGGCAGATAAATATCTGATTATCACCTTAGCTCATTTTGCAACAATGCTTCAAGGACATAAGTTCTATTACCAAAATGTAAGAGAAAAATGAGGACTAGATATAAGTCAATGGCAGGGGGGATGGAGAGGAGGCAGGGGGGATGGAGAGGAGAGGTGAGAAAGAGGGAGGCTGTTTCATAGAGTCTGGCAGGGTGTATGTCTGTTAATGCCTTAGTTTCTCCTTTCCTCTCACCCTCCAATATGTGAGGGCTTCACACTGGCCAATTGAGCCAGAAACCAGTTGACAGGAGAGCCTGGGAAATAGCCTTCTCGGAAAGGCAGAACTGTACCTCAGGGAGAATAGGCCAAGACTTGGCACCAGGATAAGTGTGCTGATTGTATTGAGTAATACTGGTGAACTTAGGGGAGTGGGCCGTGGGAGATGTAGGATGAACCTGGTTTGGGGTTTATAAAGTTTGAGTAGCCTAGGGTCCCACAGGTAGAAATACAGAAATACATGGAGTCTCACTCCTAAGACAGAGCTCAGAGATGGGAATATATTTGGGAATTATAATAGTGGTGGTTGAAGCCAAGGATATGAATTAGAGCATTTTTGAGAGGTCTATGAAGATTAGTTTTTAAATATAAAGATGGAAAACTAAGGTCACAAGAGGGAGGAAGAAAGACCAAGAACAGTTTCAGAAAAAGAATGAAGAATAATAGTACAAAAGTTTAAAGCAGACACTGTGAGAAAGCCGAGGAGTGAGTTTTGAAGATAAGAGTACAAATAATATCAAGATATAGAAGAGATAAGAACTGAATAATTTTTCTATTGGATTTGACAAATAAAAAGACTGCCAGTGACCTTGATTAATAAGCACCCCACTAATACTAAAT